GGTGCACATCACCAGTGTGGACATTTTTTATTGCTGGCAGTGCACGTTACCAGGGGGTGCTGGCGGCGCACGTTACTGGGGACCACGTGGGTTGGTGCACGGTACCTCTGTCCAGCATCCCGTCCAGCTCACTCATTTTGCAGGTTGCCAGCAGCTGGGCAGGACGCCAACCAGAGCATTCCACACAACTCCTGGCAACCAGCGACATCAGCGGGACGCCGGACAGGCCAAGAGCAACCTAGGACACTCTGGCCGGAAAGGGGACGGCAGCCACACCTGCGCACCTTCTCCATGTGACCCAATGAGATGCAACCTGAGGCAACGGTCTCATTGTAGGGACCGCCCTGGGGATCTTTTTGTGTATTATTTCTGGAACCAGGAGCCGTGTGCCAAATTACGAATACATGTAGCACTGGCCAAGGTGTTCTAATACAAGGATGGACCCCCTGTTCTATTAAATCAGCCCACTGAAAGATATCTACCCATAGGCATCAAATATTCAAACCCAAAAATATCATATACCCAAAAATTTGAACCCGTAGGCATCAAATGGTGGGTCAGACATGCAGGTACGATGTCAATGTTCAGAGCGCTGTCCATAAACATGCACTTTTGGAACAGTCGAGTGTACACGTTTACACCTGTGTTTACGTTAAGGTGGCCATGCTCGGATCCAATTGGATTGGTTGAGATTCTAGCCGTGGGTGGCCCTGTTGGCACCACCCAGCTTGGAAAAGTTGACTTTTGCCTAAGTCTTGTGGAAACTTGTCGATTTTTCAGTAGGCCTATGTGAAAGTAAAATTGTTGTTCCTACAGTGGCTGCTGCCAATCAGCTGCTGTTCAGGATTTCCGACGGCCGAGGCTGTGAGGATACAGTAGTTAGCAGGGGAGATTAGGGATTTTTCATGTTGTCATACACATATACAATGCTCTCATTCGACCTGAAAATCATTTGATTCCCCCCATCCATGCTAAACAGTGTGGACAGAGGATTCTCCTCTGCCTGCTATTGTATTCAAGCAGCCACAACACCCGCGGCTGTCGGTATTCCTGAATACATCTTATGGGATACAGTCATTGTCCAGCTGAGGATTTTCTGCCCGGCTCAGTCAATTTTTTAATTGACCTTTGTGAAGCTGTAACAGTGCTGACCGGGCCACCCACAGCTTGAAATTCAAGCCATGTATGGCTACCTTAAAGTGTATTTCCACTTTTGCAGTCAAATTTGAGAAAACCCCTCTACATGTTCGTTATATGATCCTTTTCACACAACCTACTGAAAAATAACTTTTAAAAAATATTCCTACCTTTTAGATGTTTTGTTAAATCCGGCAAGATGGCTGTTTCCAGGTTTTTGTCAGCCCTGTCACAGTGCTCTGTCCCAATGTTTTGGGACTGAAATTTGTGGACTGTGTTAATCTGATAAGCTTCATTAACATACAATGGACAAGCCACTTTAGACCCCTCACAGTCCCTCCTAATATTTCAAAGAAATAGAAGCTAGAAGAAATTTGAACCCTTAAAACCCCTAACCCAAGTAAAAACAATTTAAACTGCAAGAAGTATTTTTTTTTTAGCTTATGTTATGTGAACGGGGACATATAACAAATATAAAATAGGTGTTATCTCAATTTGGCTGCAAAAGTGGAAATGACTGCGCAGAGAAGACACATTGTCTGCACTATCATGACCCTTCCCCACCAGACACCAGCTGCCTAAAAGGGCATCCTCCTTGTGAAGTGACGGGCGCTCAGGTTTGAATAATTGCATTGCCCCCTGTTTACTGCAGAACAAAATGGTTTGCAACTGCACCACCTGGCCATCCATCGGGCAACGTTGTGGATGATTCCGCTCCAGAGCATCATGGGGGAGGGGGTAACAACAGCAGTCACCTTGGGAAATCGAGCTCAGTTTCCCATCCAAGAAGTCTTCACTATGGCAAAGCTGAAGGGGTTTGGGAATGCGGACATGCAATGGTGGCTCAATCTGTAAGTAGCTACATTGTGCAAAGTCAATGTTATGCCTCTGTAGACACCTATAGACTTCATAATGGTATGAGTGTACTAAATTACTCCAGAGATTCTAGTTTGAGCACACTTTGATATAGAAGTGAGTATGTAGTAGTAGATAGTATGAGTGTATTAAATTACTCCAGGGATTCTAGTTTGAGCATACGGTGATATAGAAGTGAGTATGTAGTAGTATGAGTGTACTAAATTACTCCAGGGATTCTAGTTTGAGCAAATGGTGATATAGAAGTGAATATGTAGTAGTATGTAGTATGAGTGTATTAAATTACTCCAGAGATTCTAGTTTGAGCATACGGTGATATAGAAGTGAATATGTAGTAGTATGTAGTATGAGTGTATTAAATTAGGGCTGTGGAAATTAAAGATGAATTTCTCCATTAATCGTTAAACTTTTTGATCGATTAAAATTATTTTGATCGCTAATGAAAATACCCACCTCTCTGCCGGCTTCCCTGAGTCCCGTCGGCGATCCGGTGACGTCACGGACATCGACGTCACCGGACCCTTTCCCCAAGTGGCGCCGTCGGCTAACGAAGGGAAGGGGGGAGGAGTCCGGTGATGTTGATGTCCGTGACGGCTAACGAAGAGAAGGGGGAGGAGTCAGGTGACGTCGATGTCCGTGACGTCACCGGACTCCTACCCCCTTAGTTAGCCGACGGAGCCACTTGGGCCGGTAAGGTACAAGAACTTCATCTTAAAGTGATATTAAAGTCAAAAGCTATTTCAAATGCTGATGAAATCACTTACAATGGATGCTGCATCTTAATATTTTTTTTAAGTTAGAGTTTCCTGCAGAATCCGCTGGTCCCCTGAGCACAGGCCCTGATATCCTGTTTTAGGGAGGCTCATTTTCTCTTGCACGGTCCTATGGAGCCACTCTTGTGTGCGCTAGGAAGCTGTGTGTGTCTCCACGAACATACACAGGGATGGCAAGGCAAGACACCTCCCTAATCCCCACTCCTCCTTCCTCCTGTCTCCCTCCCCTCTTCTCCAAGCAAGTAGAGGGACAGCTGCTGGAGACTGTGCTGTCCCTTGTGATATTGTAGTGGACAGGAAGTTCAGGGAAGCTGAGCTGAGAGAGTTGGAGCTAGCTGTTTGCAATCATGATTGCTGTAAGTGCTTGATCAAAGAAAACAAAGACTCACTGGGCAATGTATGCTTGTTTGATCTAGATTCATTATTGAAAAAAAGTTTGAGTGGTGAATACTACTTTAAAGTGTTGCAGAGAGGAGGGGCCTGCAGGGCACTCTATGTCATAGGTAGGTTTACTCTGTAGAACTGCATTCCGATTAGAACTATTGGGGGGAGTGTTGGGGCAACTGGGCACCCAACACACAGATAGCCGGTTCAACAGGAAATTCTTCTTCAAGCATAGTTGGCAGGCAGCATTTTCTGATGAACTGCAGCTGAAAGAAGTTGGGGCAGCCTAAACAAAAAGCAGAATAGTAATGCTGAGGTACTTGTTCCATAAAATAGTGTGCCCAGAGAGCAGCTTTAAAGTAAACCTGTCACAAACCTTGTCAAAGCAAGAGTACATAAGGAAATAAGCTGTGGCTGGCTTAAGAAAAAGCCGCATGTTAAAATGATCAGCAGAAGCAGACATATAGGCAACTGAAGCGACCTACTCCATAAGTTGACGTTTCTTGTACAATCTGTGCTTAGCTTCACTCCCTACTGCCTCCCAGTCCTCCCTATCAATCCTTTAATAGGATGATGGGGTATCATAGACAGGAAGGGAGACTTGGGAAGTAGCAGAAAAGACCAAGCTTGGCTTTGACACACAATGTTCAGATTGACATATAATGTACATATATCTACTATAAGGATTGTTGGTTTTTCACTGTAGGCATGTTTTTATCATATGCTCAGTTTTACTTGCACAGCATTGTCATAATAGCACTGGCACAACTACT